GACCAACATATCCACAAGTGATCGACATGTCTTGGAGGGGGTGGGTGAAGGGGTGGGTGTGTGTGTGGGGGCGGGGACATCCTCACCCAGGGTTTGGATTTTAGTTAAGGAGGAGGAGAAGAAGAAGAAGAAGAAGAAGAAAAAGAAGAAGAAGAAGAAGAAAAAGAAGAAGAAGAAGAAGAAGGAGAAGGAGAAGAAGGAAAAGGAGAAGAAGAAGAAGGAGGAGGAGGAGGAGGAGGGGGAAGAGAAGGAGGAGGAGGAGGAAGAGAAGGAGGAGGAGGAGGAGGAGGAAGAGAAGGAGGAGGTGAAGGAAGGCGAGGAGGAGGCGGAGGAACAGGCCACAAAAGATTCCTTCTGCGGGAACCTCGGTGTCGGGTTTCAGGCAGGTGAGCCTTAGCCTTGGGTATTGGGTATCTGTTGGCTTACCCATGACACCACGAAGGGAGGGTTTGCTAGTGGTGAAAAAAAGTCATAGGGTATCGTCTTTTTAGAATAGGATTTCGCTTTTTACGTGTATGAGTCTTATGTCATATATTTTTTCAGGTGTATGTTGGTTCAAGTCTGAAAAGAAATGTGAATATCTCTGGAATATATGTGTGTGTATGTGTGTGTGTGTGTGTGTGTGTGTGTGTGTGTGTGTGTGTGTGTGTGTGTGTTTAAATACCGCGAGTACCTTTAGATAAAATAGGTACTTGAGGATCCAAATGGGGGACTGGCAGGGCCTTGTGTTGTAGAAAAGGCCCAGATTTGTTCTTTTCTTTTTCACTCTCTATTATCACAATGGATTTGTGTGTTAAGTACTGTATTTTATACGTAAAGATTCATACTGTGTAATCTGAGTGTTGTTTTTAGCTTTTTTCCAAAACAGTAATAAGTACTAGTCGGAAACTGACACTATTAACCTCCAGATCATGAAGTCTTTCAAACTTAAAACTAATCATACGGAAGATTTGCATATTGATTACCTTATAAACTTATTCTGACAAGATGTTTACAAGCAAATACTGTATGCATATCTTATAATATCTCTTCTCCAGATATGATTTGAAACCAGCAAGGAAAAGAACAATAAAAAAGCATATACCTCGTCTTAGTGTCGAAAACCAACAAGGAAACGTATATATAAAAAAACACAAACCTCGCCTTATCAAACTAACAAACTTTATTTTTTTTCCAGTTCATCCCAGTCGAGCTAGACTTAAGCGTGGCAAGCAAGACTGACATGGAGACTGCTCTCAAACTACACTTCGGGGGCGAGGATGTGCCTAGTCCCTCCCGCGTTCTGATCTTCCACAATGCTGGGTCTCTTGGTCATCTCAAGTACCTGAAAGACCAGGTGGATCAGCAGCACGTCCAGCAGTATTTTAATCTGAATGTGAGGTAAGGGTGAGGTTGGAGGAAGGTAAGGGGAGGTAAGGGTGAGGTTGGAGGAAGGGAAGGGGAGGTAAGGGTGAGGTTGGAGGAAGGGAAGGGGAGGTAAGGGTGAGGTTGGAGGAAGGGAAGGGGAGGTAAAGGTGAGATTAAAGTAAGGAAATTGAGGATAAGAACAGGTCAAAGTACGGAAATGGGAGGTAAGAGCGAGATTAAAGTAAGTTATTGTAAGGTAGGAGAGAGATCATAATAAGACAATGTAAGGTAAAAGAGAGAGATTAAAGCAAGGTAATATAAAGTAAGAACGAGATTAAAGTAAGGTGATGAAAGGTAAGAAAGAGAGACCATAGTAAGACAATGTAAGGCAAGACCATAACGCCTCAAAAACCGTCGAATTTCCTTAAGGAGAGGAGTCTCTAGACGGGCTGAGGGACCATGCAAGGGTGAATCACACACGCACCCCCCCCCCGGTTTCAGCTCAAGGGAATAGTGAGGGATCGGTCCCAAGGGCAGCTTAGAAACAATCGTGTGGCTGTAAGGGAAAACGTCGTTACTTACGAAAGAGAGAAAAGAAGGAAATATAAAAACAAAGACGAGAAGAAAAAAATTCGGCATATTTTAGTATCATTTTTTTTCTGATCTGATTATTGATTATAATAATGAATTAGAGTTTCCAGTCATACTTCAATTTAAATCAACCTGAGCTGTTGATATTGTATGAGATGTCATTCTTGTTAAATATGCAACTGTATATAACGCATTTTTGTTCTGATTAGGGAGACATTAATATTCTTCCTTAAGAAATAAATGATAAAGTTATTATATGTAATAAGAAATGAATGATAAAGTTATTATATGTAATAAAAGCTTAATTATACAAATAATTCAGGTGATGATGATAAATAATATGGCTGTTAATGATAGGTGTAATGATAATGATAATTACAGTAATACAATATTGATAATAATGATAATGATAGCAATAACAAAATAATGATGATAATCATATCAATAACAACAATAATAATCGTAGCCATAATAGTATTGATAATAGTAATGTTTATAATAATAATAATAATAATAATAATAATAATAATAATAAAAATAATAATAATAATAAAAATAATAATAATAATGATATTAACAAGAGTAGCAATGATAAAAAATAATGATAATGATAGTAATGATGATCATAATAGTAATGATAGGTTTTGTCATAATAATAATGACTTTAATAATAATACCAGTAATCATAATCATAGTAACAATAATGATGGTGATGATGATAATCAAAATGATAGTAATCACAACAATAAAGGGTAATAATTGTAATTAACACACAAATATTAACTTACAAATAAGTACAGTTCTCAGTTACATGTACTTGAACACATATACTCTGTGCATTATATATATTTTTATTATTATTGTTGTAGATCATGTCACAGATCTCCATTTAATAGTGTTTTTTATGAGTTTTGTATTGTTTAACCTGACTATATCAAAAGGAAAGAGAATTTGTGTTTTGTTAAAATCTTTTATGTATCATGCCAGTCATTTGAAACAGTAATTTTATCAGAGGTCAGAACAAGCCTTAAACAAAGCATAAATGTAATATTAAAAGTCATGCTCTCTTTACAGCTCGGTTGTGACACTCAATGCTGTATTCATGGGTATGGTGCGATCGCTGGCTCCAAGTGCAGCCATAGAGGTGATAAATATATCATCTCTGTGTGCAGTACAGCCCTTCAAGTCGTGGGGCTTATACTGTGCCGGAAAAGCAGGCAGAGATATGTTGTTTAGGGTCTTGGCTTCTGAAGAACCTAATGTGACGGTGTTGAACTATGCTCCAGGACCTCTCGATAATGATATGCAGGTGAGACCACGGCAAGTTTGTAAAGACTTTTCATGGCCACGGTTTATGTTAATTCACTCTTTTATTATTGGTTTGCGTGGTATTTAAAGAGAGAATGTAGGTTTTATGCATTCTGAAGAGGTGTAGACAACTTATGATTTAATATTTTTCTTGCGTTTTTGAAAGTGTATGCACTTATTCAACCATCGCGTCCTGTAGAGAATCATGAATGAAAAAAAAAAAAAAAAAAAAAAAAAAAAAAAAAAAAAAAAAAAAAAAAATATATATATATATATATATATATATATATATATATATATATATATATATATATATATATATATATATATATATATATATATATGTATAATGCATAGATAGAAATCTTGTCATCTGAGGGAAATCTCAAAGTATACCTGTTGTATAACTATAAGCCATACAGGAATTTTATATTAATCTGAATATCATGGATAGCTGTGGCATGTTCACGGGATGATGTGTTAGGCTGGCAATTTCCCTTTTACCCCGACTTTGACCGCAGCTCTATCATGGCCAGGGTCATTTTTTAAAAGATATTCAAAGATTGGGGAAGTTATATTTCTATATGATATGATTTTATTTGTTGTGTACATATATATATATATATATTATATATATATATCTCCCTCTCTCTCTCCCGTTGCATTTATCCCTCTATTTATACCCTTATAAAGCTAAAATAGTTTCATTACACTGATGAGATTTCCATGACCAGTCTTATCTGTAATACTTACCTTCTCAACCATGTTTTTTCCCCAGGTGGCTGCGCGCACGGAGACAGCTGATGACGATCTACGTTCTGCCTTTTCCTCCATGAAGAATGAGGGAAAACTCCTTCCCTGTAGCACGTCCGTTGGCAAACTTATAGACATTTTGAACAGCAAGAAATTCAAGTCCGGAGATCATGTTGATTATTATGATGAATTGTAAAGCTCTGGTGTTGATTTAAATGTAAAAAAAATCAATGTTGTTGTATTCAATTTCTTGCAGATTCTATGAAGTGGAAATTTGATTAAGAAGGGTTAAGGGAAAAGCGAATTCATATTCATATTTAATACCAATGCCTCAGTATACACAGTTTATAAAAAAATAGAAATAAAAGAAAGACAGTTTATGCTGAATCTCGCAATGAAACACCAGTTTTATCATTTGATTTATTGCTTTATTTTTTTTTTTGTAATGGTTTGAAACGAAGTTCAGTGTGGCATGCTGGTGTTCATGCCTGTTGTTTTTATTTTTGTTTTTTTGTTTTTTGCAAGATAGTATATGTTGATTTTTTTGACAGATAGTATACATTGAATTATATTTTGCTCTCCAATATTTTTTAGAATAAATATGATTAGTATATATATTTTTATAATTCCTTTATGCTAGTGGTTGTCTTATTCAAAGATTTTTGTTTATGCATATTGGTCTTCGGCGTAAGAGCATCATAGCGTGGAAACAAAAAAAAAATATACAATAGTATTGATATAAATTTACTAGCAGAAGTAGCTCCAGCATCCAATAATGCATTATGAGGGTAGAATATAAAATAACACTTCCTGACATTTCTTGTCTCAAAAAAAACTAAAAACAATGAAAATTATATTAAAAAATAAATAAATAGACCAAAAATTAATAATTTACTGAACAAAAGAAATAATCATTTGGATGTAATGTTATATGAGTCTTTTGATGACTTTTATTTTGTTATGGTCATATAAAACACTAGTATTTTTAACCTTGAACAGCC